TTCCCTTTGTGGGATAAATTCTTTATGAATTTGTAAGAGCATTGGTGTTGGAGTAATCTTGTGGTGCGTGGGTCAATTTAAAATTGAGTCCTAACCTTTGTGGTCGCCGAAAGGTGTTGATTTGCCATAGTGAATTTAGGATGCATTAGCAGTGTGTGAGTATGTTTTTTGGTAAGGTGGAGTATAAATACCTAGGGGTACATTATGGTTTGTACTGTGGGATGTGGAGTGTTACATTTGGATCACAGTGGAGATGTAATCAAATATTTGAAATCCTTTATCTGTGAGAGAACCTGATTAGGTGGAGTGCAAGAGAGGCCCTTCTATCACTTCTATTAGGTGGAGACCCATTATCCACGTTGGTTGGAAGAAGTGATGTGGTGATAGAGGATTATCCCAAAAACTTAGGATCTATAGAGACATGAGTTGGGTGATTAGTCTAGTGAGCATTGTGGGCGATGAGGTGATATTTGTGTTCTCGAGGAGTGAGCAATCACATGGATGAGGGGTGTAGTCATTAAGACATTGAAGAGGAATTGAAGAGATGAACGACTGAAATGAAGACTGATTTACGTGAAACCGAAAATGACATTTATTTGCATGAATAAAGTCTGAAACTGAAGGAGAGGGAACCGCCGTTGAGGGGCTGCTGACTGAAACTGATATGGTGGCTTTTGATTTTCTGTAGCAAAACTGATTTTCATTCAATTATTTCCAACATTTTATTGGTCAATGAAATTTGGCAACGGGAAATATTTATTGTTGCCTAGTCTGTTGGGTTTTGATACTCAATAAATTTCGGGCTATGATGTTAAATCAGTTTTAATTGGTTTATATTTTATAGGCATCGGCTGATGAGTGAAGTGAAATGTCGACACCACAATCGAACCAATCGAATCACGTAATCACTTGAGCTATTTGTAGCAGCCTAATTATATTAGTGCTGCTCATGGCCCAACTCGAATGATTTGGATGACTTTAATGTATTAGCCCACTTATCCCCGTTTCTATTGGGCCTATTATTTTGACCTAAAAGCCTAACATATTCCTAATCTATTTAGTTTGGTTGTCCACTACTATTATTGTGTGGAAAGATTAGAAACAGCCGTCTTTTGTGAAGAGAGAAAAACAGGTTCTTGCTTTTGCTTAGTGCAACCTTGGCTTTGTGCCTTAGACTGGTCCTTTCTTCTTCATAAAGCCTTTTGTGGTTGTTCCCTTTGGTTGTTATCTTTCCACCCTTAGTCCTTTGTGGGCTGTACAAATTGGAGCAACCATTTGTGTTTGGGAAGTGTTGGTTTGTGGTTTTACTGGTTTTGGTCGTAGTGTCGATTATTTGGTGTTGACTTTGCCCGGAAATTGGTTGACTGAAGCCTCATATTACAACATATGGTATCAGAGCAAAACGGAGTACGTCATAGATCTCAACTCACTATGCATGCAA